GGCCTCCAGAAGCGAAGTCCTATAATGATATCACGTCAAATTGGTTGCCTCTATTGAGATTGTCCGATGCCTACCTTGCTGAAACCATATAACACATGGACCAGGTTTAGATCTATCAATCCCGTAAGATCCAGCGAGAGGATTGACGTAAACGGCACAGCCTCAGGATCACCAGAATCAAATACACATGAAGCGTATACCTCATCACTGATGAGATGGAGGTTGTGCTTATTGCAGAATCGGGCGATAGCCTTGAGTGTCTCAACTGGGTAACAACGACCTGGCGGTATCAAACCAGTTCATTCAATGGATCAAGCGGCATATATAACTCACCGACAGGGTTATGTGGATTGACGAGCAGAACAGCTCGAATGTTCTTGGAGGATTCCTTGAAAGCCAGTTCATATTTTTCCACACAAGCAGGAGAGAATGCCTCTTCCACATTTGTGTCAGCATAAACCATTTTAACGCCAGATTCAACACCGTAGTCGAGCTCAAAGCGGCCGTATATAGGTCTGCTGACGAGGATCCCATCCCCGGATTCTGCGAGACTGTGTCCCAGCATGCTGCCAAGAGAGGTCGGACAGTCTGCCACTAATATGTCCTCGGGATCAATTGGGGCATGTGGTTTGAGGATATTGTTCAAGTGAACTGTTGCAGCAGCTGGTAATCTTACAGCTGTCGGTGCACTTGGGCGGTAGCTGATAGAATCTTGTGTAAAGACGACCTATGTGAGGTTTTTAGCGGGATTCTTTCAGTCAGTGGACACTATGTCGACATGAAGCGAAAATTAGAATACGCACATTTTGGTTGATATATCTGGCTATCTCCGCTCTCATTGGTCTCTGGTTGGAAGTTAGCTCTTGGTTTCCGGCTGTGGGGATATATGTTGTAGATACATTCTCCGCCAGGCCAAATGAGATGAGCCCTGTCGGGTTCTCCATTGGGTCATAGGTCTGAGTTAGACTAAAGCGCCAGGGCTTGGCCAGTTCCCTGGCATTTTCGCTTCCCCGAAAAGATAACATCATGGGATAGACGAGCGTGAATGCTGATTTGTTGAATGTTCGGGAGTGATGTATATTTTAAGACGAGTTAATTGCACAGAAACAAATGTATCAATTACAAAAGAATCTTGTTAGAATAAATAAGCGAGTTGAGATAAAGTCGTCGTATGTTGTCGGAAGGCGAAAGGTTGATCCCCCACCTACGAGCACTACGTACAATATGAGGACCTGTGAAAAGAACCATTCTGCGGGCTATGAATCGTTAACTGGTTAGTTCCATGTGATAATTGATATTTGGCAACTTACAACGTTCTTGGTCATCCCTAAGGTCTTCAAGCATGAACCATTCATGCGGTCTGTATCTTCCCACCCGGGTATAAGACTCAACAACATCCTCTACATCCTCAGTATGTAGATCATGCTCTAGCCCAAACTTCGGTCTTGGGTTGTATTGCATTATGACAATTGTCGCAGTGTTTTCGGGATAAAAAAGCATGATAGCTGAGACCAACACTAAATCGAAGGCATGTATCTAACACATAACTATGGAGATATATGAGGCTATGCACAGACAAAGTGGGTGGCATAACAAGAATATTGTACAAATCTATAAGAGAGGAGAAACGCCGACCCGCTATGCTAAATGGCCTAATGTACACGTCCATATACCCAAATCACAACAACAACAATCAATATCTCGTCCGCGGCTGTTTGCGCTTGTCGATTTTCTTCTTCTCTGCAATAAAGTTCCAACATTCAATCGGACGTCGGCACCCAATATGTTTCCCGTTGGGAGTGAAAACCTCGACCTGCGGATAGGAAGGTTCGTCTTCAGCGTCCCGCTTGCTGCGGATTTGTATACTGAGCTCGATCCAGCCGCAGCCCTCGATCAGAATATCTGCCGACATCACACGATACGGCAACGAAGGCACAGGGATCCCCCTGTCCTTTACAGCTTTGGCTAGCGAGGTGGGAAGATTCGAGGTGGTGGTATCCCACTTTAAGTCGAATATACCCGCCGAGGCAATTGTGCTGCCAGTTCCTTCTTTCATAATGACAGTTCCTCGGTAGGGGATTTCTTCGGCTTGCGTATCAATTGCTTTCTGTGTGTTGGTGATATGAGACTCGAGAGGCAGGAAACTGGCCGACATGACAGTATCTTGAGGGTTCACAGCGGTAATGCGGATAAGACCACCACCAAGCAGAAGAGACTGGCCGGGTTTAATGGTCGAACGTTCAGGCTTGATCCGCTTCGTCATGATCAAATCACGTTTGTGTTCATCCTGAACGAAGTCCTCCAACAGACCACGCTCTAGGCCGGGCAAATCGATGACCTCGCCCTTTCCACGACCGAATGGAATGCGGATAGGCGAGACTGTAGTGCCTGGAAGAGAAGACACGACTGGGAGCACAGGATAGAGATCCTCGCGGGGTGCAGGGGGCAGAAGGCTGTCGGGGTTAAGGAAGGTGGGAATCTCATTTTCCTCACGGCGTTGAACCCACTCTTCGATTTTCTCCACATTCCTGGAATCCTTGGGGAAACACGCTTCAATGAAGCTGCTCTTTCCCACGTTTGCCTTGCCAACGACCCAAATGCCGCCACCATGCTCTCGAATCTCTTCCTTGACCTCCTTAGTCCACCACCCACGATGCGCGCTAATCATGTGCACGTTGCCTAAACGGGCCTCCTTCCCCGATCTTCCCAAAGCTGCGCGGAGCTCTGTGCGAATATAATCCATCTTCGAGTCTACCTGCTCTTTCGTTGCCGCCAAAAGGTCCGAGCGCGTAATTATAAATGAGAGTGATGGAAGTCTTCTTCCGCGTTCGTATTTCTCGTTTGTAGATCGTCGGTTCCGCGAACGTTGCTCCTGCAGCATTAAAGCCCAATGAATCCGTGGAACGAGAGACATTGGGAAATCTGCAGCATCGATGATATGGTAGACACGGTTGTGTCGATACGGTGATTCTTCGAGGTAGTTTCGTATAGACAAAATAGTCGGCTTGGGCGAAGAGACTGCCTTGTTGTGGTGTATCAAGTCGTGGCAACGATCACAGACTTCGGTGATTCGACCCGGAGACCCAAGAAAGTTATTCTCAGGATTGACAGCTTCATCCGGAAAAGCTCCATCTTTTTTTTTTAAGTCAGCAAAATGGCGGCCTTAAGCAATTGTCTAGATGTCCTACCTTGAATAGGCTTGGGTGGCACTGCATCCTCGATGGCATCGCTCTGCTGTGCGCTTAAGCTACCTCCCTCAGTGGATATAGCCTCATTTGGTTGTTTATTTTTGTATTCAATTGCTTCCTTTCTCACGGCGAGTAGTTTCCGAATCTGCTTTCGTGATGTACCATAGTATCCTGGCTCGTTTGCCTCAACTGTTTGGGAGAATGCGCCACATCCTGGGCAGCACAAAGGCAGGGAATCGGCTAGGGTGCCAGCCTGAGGCTCAGCCAGGGGCTGTTCTCGCTGAAGGCGAGTTGTTGAAAAGCATCGGCATTGCCTGCGGAGGTCCGCAAGGCCTTTGGATTGTGGCGCAGCGCGTGAGAAGGGATTTTGAGCATGAGATCGAGGAATGCTATTTGGGAGCAGACGCAGCAGATTCAATCTCGGGTTTCTGAACACTGCGCCTCGAGAGCAGAGTGACATGATGGCGTGCGAAACTGCGGAGTAGTTGCGGAGCTTTTTTCTTTGGAGACAGTTATCTATCGATAGCGCACATGGTAAGTTCGGGCCGCCGTACAAGTAGGCGCAACAAGTTATTTTACGGATTATTATACTGGTGGCAGTAAATGAATTTGCATTGAACACTCCTGTCGGAGACTAAAATTATTGGCACAGAAGGCGCTAAAACACAGATGCGCCAGATAATCCCTGAAAGGAGCAGTAAAAGAACGCCGTCGTGAAACATGGACAAATTTGGTTTGCTAGAAGATCAAGCGCGCGCCTTTCCCTTTCCCTTGCCAGATTCCTCCATCTCGTCATCGGAGTCACTCATGAACTCGTCATCCTCATCGAAACCAATGAACTTCCTTGGTGCAGCCTTCTGAGGCACAGACGACCTAGCAACAGAATTGGATGATTCTCCATTTTCTTCGCTCTCTTCGTCCTCGCTGGACGAGGCATCCTCCTCACTGCCCTCGGAGCTGGCGCTGGTGCTGGATCCACCGAGGAGTGCGTCGCGAAGATTATCTGTCCATTGGCCATCCTTGACAGCCCGTAGAACTGCTTCCCGAGTCTTCTCACTCATTTCCTCCCTGTCTTCCATCCACTGTCCATCCAACTTCTGCCTGCCGCTGCCGTTCTTCAACTCGTCTTGGCGCTTTTCAGCCATCTCCACCACGGACTGCCATCGGCGTTGACGCTCCTCTTTTTCTTTCTTGTCCATCTCTGGCTTGACAGCGAGATATTCTGCTAGTGCCTTTGCCTCGTTGACAGTGCGCAACCGGCGGCCATCGAGATTGCGACTGGATCCATTGTTATCGCCTTGATTGCGCTTGCGCTTGCTGGACATGCGGCCACCAGCGGCACGCAGTTGAGAGCCGAAACCACCTTTACCACCGTGGATGGGGGCAGTCAGGCGTAGCGGAAGGAGTGTAGAGGTAAAGACGCCATCACGGGTCGGGAGAAAAGATCGGATACACTCGGAGGTGGCCGTGAGATGTTTGTTATTTGTTGTGGTAAGGGCGAGAGACTGAAGAGAGAGTGATAAGGGGAGATATGAAGCGATCTTGGCGGCCAGGTCTGATGTGCTCGCCGTCGATGGCAAAGTGAACGAAAGTGTCGCCGGCAGCGACAGTCCCGGAAAGGACGACAACAGAACGTTGACAGTTGAGGAAGCCATATTGTGTGTCAGAAACACTTCACGATATAATAGTAAGAGCGTGCGACTGGAGAGTTTTGTAGGAAGAAAGTATAGTTGTATTAGAAGATGGACGATGTTGCGATAAGATCGAGATGGCCGCAGCCATGATGACTAATCGAATTCTTAGTCAGCTATCATGGTACCTCTCACGTGATGGTATATCACCTCCAAGGTTGTATCATGTGACCTGAACCACAAGCTGATTAGGGTCATAACCCTACACCCAATTCGGACCGACGCACTTTTCTCATAGCGAAGCTCCACTCTTCATCCATCATTTAAATCAACCATTATTTTCGGGCGTTGTCAAAGCGATTCCCCGACTTGCAACAGGAACTCGCGACAATGTACGTATCCTCGTTCTTACGATTCTTCCCGACACATTCACTAACAATGGCGCAGGCTTATCCCCAAGGACGACCGCAAGAAGATCCACGAGTACCTCTTCCGTGGTATGTAACGAGAACCTTCGTCGACGTTCCCGCGACACTGCGACATTGCGCTCGAGTCATGTGCGGATTCACTAACCCAAGCTATAGAGGGAGTGCTCGTGGCCAAGAAGGACTTCAACCTTCCCAAGCACGGTGACATTGACACCAAGAACCTCTATGTCATCAAGGCCCTCCAGTCCCTGGACTCCCGCGGCTTTGTGAAGACCCAGTTCTCGTGGCAGTACTACTACTACACCCTCACCCCCGAGGTATGACTCATCCACATCTAAAACGCCCACATGTCCGAATACTAATCGAATAACAGGGTCTGGACTACCTCCGTGAGTGGCTCCACCTCCCCGCCGAGGTTGTCCCCGCCACCCACATCAAGCAGCAGCGTTCCCACGCTCCCCCCCGCGGCATGATGGGCGGTGAGGAGCAGCGCGGTGAGCGTCGTGGTCCCCGTGCTCCCCGTGAGGGCGGTTACCGCCGTCGCGAGGAGGGTGGAAAGGAGGGCGGTGCCCCCGGCGAGTTCGCTCCCTCTTTCCGCGGTGGCTTCGGCCGTGGCCGTGGTGCTGCTCCCCAGGAGTAAATGCTGAGAGGCATTGGTGTCCTGTCAACCACTTCTCGGTCAATCTAGAGTCTTGATGGTGTACCCGAATTCGGCTGCCGGACTAGAGGTTTCTCGAAACGGGCCTTACACTCGGTGCACCTAGATCTCGGTCCAGCTTCACTGGGACTTGGGGATACAGGAAACAAAATAAAAGAAGAAATTCATGTTTCCACTGGTTTCATTATGTAGATCCATGTGGATTGATGTAGATTGTCAATAGTTACTCATTGCTAAATTTATGACATGAGTGACATTGGTCTGTTAGTGAACTTAGTGTAGGTCTTCGAGCTCTCTTGACTAGTCGATCTATTGCATTCCTGGAGAACGCATTCACTCTAAGTACGTCACACTGATTGAGCAACGACGGAGTAGATAATTTCGAGGCTAATCTCAGTGTAATATGCATTAATATACCTGATGTATTTAAACGTTCTGAACTATATACAAGGCGTTTCTGTTCGGTTAAAGTGAGCTCCCGCCTTACAAGAATCTCTTCCGGTCATAACGCACTACAGCCTGCAAAATGACAGATGCTCCAGTAGCGCAATCATCGGCAGTAGAGAACTCCTCGGGGTGATGACTGAGACCATCCTTGCATGGAATAAAAATCATGCTCGTTGGGACACGCTTGGAAGTGAAGACACTGTCATGGCCAGCACCACTCATAATGGTCCGAACAAGTGACTTTGTATCCGCAACGGAACCATCTGCGACAACAGCCTGAGCTGACTGCTCCACACACTCAATGCAGTCTTCATGGAACTTGATAGCAGGTGAGTCGAAGTCTAGAGTCCACTCAACGCGACAAGGTTTCCCAATACCAGCACCCTCAGCGGCGGCAATAGCGTCGAAATCAGCGCGCAGCTCCTTCTCGACTTCGGCAACTAGCTCTGTCTCAGGCCCACGGATATCCAAGCTAAAGCTCACCTCTCCAGGAACTGTGTTCACACTGCCGGGCTTCGCTTCGACAATGCCGACACTGGCTAGACAACCCTTCGAAGCTGCCACTTCCCGTGCGCGCACCATCATCCGGGCGAATGCATAGAGGGCGTCTGCTCGATGTTCAAAGGCAGTGGTTCCTGTGTGTGTATCTCGCCCGATGACGTTGAGACGGAACCATTTGTAGGCCTGCACAGCTGTCACAACTCCGACTCGTTGGTTTGCCGACACCAAGTATGGGCCTTGCTCAATGTGCACTTCGAAATGGGCGGCCATCGGCGTCGACTTGTACGAGCACGGGACATCACCCAAGTAACCAATCTTCTGCAGGGCGCTCTTCATAGTCTCTGGTGCTGATGCCGCTGTTGGCAGCGATGCCACAGTTGGGACTTCTTTGAGATTATGCGCTTGCGCCAATGGGATGCACTCGGCCCATACACCACTCGAGATCATGCTGATCGGGAATCGGGCGCCCTCCTCGCTGGACACGGTCAGTGATGATCATTTTCCAGGTTGAACGTGGGATCTTACTTGGTCCAGTCGACAACCCCGACTCCGCCCTCCGTTTCTAGACCCATGTCGTTCATAGTCTTGATGACTTCGATACCTGACAACACACCCAAAATACCATCGTACCGCCCACCGGTCGGTTGTGTATCGAGGTGGCTCCCAATGAATGTGGCAGGTACATCCGCTCTCCGACCAGGACGAACAGCAAAGATATTACCCATCTCGTCCACGGTGACGTTGCACTTGAGATCTTTCATAGTCTGGATGAACCAATCACGGACGTGCTTGTCATCTTCTGAAATCGCCAGGCGCTGCATGCCGGTATCTGTAGGTCCACTATCAAGTCGCCGAGGCTTTTGTTAGCGGTTATTCTCCAGTCACCTCGGAAAAGATGGTTGTATCTTACTCTCCCCATCTGATCCCAGATCCCCATTGACACGAATGATGAAGATCATTGGCCAGGCGCTCCTTGTTGGCCCTGAGCGCAGAGACCTGAGTCTCGGAGAGCTCTGTTGTCAACATAGCTTGTATACGTGATGAAGAAAGCGTTCGAGCAGGGTTCAAAAAGAGAGGCTTAACAAGTTGAAGATACTTTCTTGGGGGATTTCGTAAAAACAGAGAATGCGCCATGCGTACTATCGCTTTATAAAGGAAAGCTGGAGGGTCTGGAGTACTTTGTATGGTCATTGATAAGAAGTGGAGTTGGGCGGACAAAAGTCCGCAGTCCCGCGATAGTCCCCGGTTTACTTCAACCCCCGCAACACCGGGTTTCAGCTTAGACTTGGAAGTGCTCTGCTCTCATGGTCAATCAATTAACATACCATGAGATGTATTGGTTATGACTGAGCTCATGCTCTCGTCTATACCGAGGTCAAGTCGGTGGACGAAGACCATGTCAGCATAAGGCCAACATGAATATGATAGTTTGCCCTGAAGCTTATGCCTGCAATAAATTCCTGCAATGCATGTAAATCCGTTTTCTTGGGTTGTAAACAAAGAGAAAAGGATTAGAGCGTACAAAAAATGTCGGCGTAGTGGGCACAAAACCCAGTCTCGCTCGTTTGCTCATGCTTGCTGTCTCCATTCGCTCCTTTTCCCTTTCTCTTCTCTCCCACAATTATTTCCACTTCTAATTCATCAGTCATCAACCAAGTTTCATCGAGAGCCGGGCTGGATCCTCATATGCTGACTATCAGTTGGGCATTCTCGAGGCCAAGTCCATTGTGAGATGAGACGCAATATTGGCATGTTCTACAACACATGCTGCCATTTTATCATCAGAAGAATCGAAGAATTACTACATGATAAGTGTCATGGATTTCTCGAAGACAGTGACTCTAATTGATGTTTTCTAGAGCTGTACTCTATCACGCATCGTCCGTCGTTTTGTGAGCCTATACATCTGCGAGATTTGTCAACAAGCTCTCACTCTCGTGGAGTAAAAGCGAGGCCATTTGAAACAATGGTGGCGGAAGAAATACTGAAAGCTGGGGTCTTTCAGGTCATGACACAGCTAGGATGTCTCCATGCGCCACTTGCACACTTGGGCTCAGAATTATCTTCGCTGTCACTTACTGACTAAAGTTACCTCCGGGCATATCACATCTCAACGTGGAAATAGTCTGATAATATTGTACAGGACCTGGGTTTAATGCTCCAATACTTCAAGATGGTTTGAGTTCCTTTACTTATCCTGGTCTTTCGAACTCGGCCAAGTATCCAAGTTTTGGTCACTTGGCCCAGTTCTGATATCCAGGTTTTTTCAGTAGGTTTTGGTGGACTTCAAGGTCGGTGCAAAGCCTCATGGATGTTTTCAAGTTCATCACACCATGATTAGAAAAAGACCAAGATCAAAACGTCTATCATGTCATAAAATGAGCGGGTGAGCTTCGTGCTCTTTTCATGCGCAAGATATGGCCTGCTCAAGACATAACAGAATACATACAGTTAAAGTAGAAGCTCTTATAGCATTAGATCTATTTTTTATGCTCGTTGATGAACTGATTATAAAAGAACCATTCACCAAACTTCTATCCCCCGTAGACTTCTTCGTATTGTTTTACAATATTTTTCTGAACGATTACCATACTGTTTTGATAAGAGAGGGTTAAAAAAAAACATGAGACAAATAAGAATGAGAAGAAGAAAAAAAAGTAAACGAACCCAGCTTCGTGGGTGCGAAATTCACGGAGCGACTTGCGGTCCAGGGGGTTCGAACCCATGATATAACCTCGAGGGTAGTCTAGAGCAGGTATGGCTCATGGTCGAGTTACCAACTAGGCCACTGAGTTTCGCATGAATACTATACACTGACTTTGGTACTTAACCAATCCCAATCACGTGATAGTCGGCCATAGTAACAAATACTGCCAATATCTCGAGCTTTCAAACAAGACATATTTAATAGATCTCTTCCATAGTCTTTACCTGTAGCTCGTAGCTCTGCTTTTTCTAGTTACGATCAAATAAAGACCAAAAAATCAATGAAAATGGTAAAGGAAGACGTTGAAATTGCATTTATTAAAGAAAACGCACGGACCAGAGTTCCGACGGAGCCTCATAACTCTATCCCAAACAATAAGAAATGTCAAGAATGGGATATGGACCCTCTAGGCCCCAAACAACTTATCTCCTAATCAAGAAGCCCTGCTGATAGCGAGATAGGGGGTTTCTCCAGTTATTCAAGGAGACCCAGAGGGTCCACGGCATCCCACACAAAATCATCAGCCTCTGTCTCCTCTTGCATACTCTGAGAAGATGGGCTGGCCTCCTCTTTGGCCCGCATGGTCACGGGCACTAGGTGAGGGAGACTTAGCGGGCGTGCATCTGAAGGAAGGCGAAACAGTAGGCGAGGGTGAGGGCGAGAGCGAGCATGCCGCGGTAGGAGAGTCTGTATATATAGATAGTGTGACGTGGCAGGTCTTGTAAGAGAGAAGTGTGCATTCAATACAAAATGACTTAGATGGAGAGAAAGAAGAAGCAAGTTGAAAAGTGGGGAGCTTCCTGTTTATATAGCTATCCCTTTGCAAACATTGCAAACATCAAACATCTTAGCTGTGTAGCAAACAATCTATCTAACAAACAGCAGATAGTCGCCGATCCGTAGAGTCATAGAATAGACAATCATGCAGACGGTAACAGATAGCACATTAGCCTCTTTCCGGTCATTGGCATCTAATCAGCACTACGACAGATCCTCTTTCACTTCTCACGACTGCAATAATCTTGTGTAGAATTATGCGGAACGTTGGGAAATGCTTATTTTGGGGGGCGATATCCTAAGAATTCCGGGGTTTAGTTGACATCGATGAGTGGTGACATTCCCAGAGAGTGGACTGGATTTGAAGAGAAAGGAGGAGAAGAGGAGAAATTTATTTGTGGACGGGGAAACATGCAGGAGAATAGACGAGGATAAAAGGCGAGGATCTATCTAAACAAACCATTTCGCGTCGTATCACAGCTTTATGTTATGGTTCTCTTCTATCCCCTCTTAATAAAAATGTTAGCGCGTCATATCAATAATAAATGGTTATTGTCCGTGGGGAAGAGCAATACCAAGCCAGTGTATGAAAAGACTACCATATTGTTGTTTTATACCGTAGAAACTACTACAGGGAGAGAAAAAAAAGGATTAAAAAAAGTGGACGAACGGTTTGAACCCAGAGCCGTGAGTGCGTAATTCTCGACAGTGTTCTAAACCAGGCAGTTGACCTAGAGGGTAGTCTGGAGCAGTACTGCTCGATAGAGTTACTAACTAGGCCACTGGGTGTCCTTACTCCTAATATACTAACTTTGATACTTAACCAATGGATGCTTATTAGTTTCTTATATATACTCCATCTAATCTATAATACTAAGCTAGTATTTATTAAAAGACTACCTACCACATTATCATTTTATACTTTAAGAACTACTATAGGGGGAGAGAAAAAAAAAGGATTAAAAAAAGCGGACAGAATGGTTTGAACCCAGAGCCGTGAGTGCGTAATTCTCGACAGTGTTCTAAACCAGGCAGTTGACCTAGAGGGTAGTCTAGAGCAGTACTGCTCGATAGAGTTACCAACTAGGCCACCGGGTGTCCTTACTCCTACTATACTAACTTTGATACTTAACCAACGGATTCTTATTGGTTTTTCATACTCCATCCAATTACCATTCTCGCCTTCCACTATGTACCTCACGTACCTGCTCAGACGATGCGTTATGCTTCTCCTGATCACTTTGTAAACAAAAACAGAACATATCTTGCTATATGTACCCTATATGGTTTAGGGTATATTGCTCATGTGGATAGGATATACTGCCTAGTAAAGAACAAAGAACACTTGATATCAAGACTCACTGATATTGACAACCTGATAGCTCCTCTTCACAGCCACTATTGCTTTTCATTCTGTGGGGGTGTTAGATTTGTTCCGTTGCCTACATAACTCCTGTTACGTGCCAGGTCTTGCAAAGAGAGAGGAGCGCATCCAATACAAAATAACTAAGATGGAGAAAGAAAGAAGAAGCAAGTTGCAAATCGGAAGCAGCCAGTTGATATCGCTGACGCTTTGCAAAAGTTGGTAACCTCGAACGTCTTGCTTAGCTATCTAGCAAACAATCTATGTGATGCAAACTAATAAACATGCAAACAGTAAGCGAGCAAGCAAACATGAAGCATGATAGCAATCTATCGTAGATTAGGTGACCTCTGAATAGCTTCATCTGTCTTGTAAACCACCTAGGAATATGGAGATATCTGCATTTTTATGGGTGAAAAGCTTCATTCTTGGAGACTAGAATTAACTAACTAGTTAGTTAATTATAGGGATTTCGAAGCCCTCGGATGGGCAATGTCACTTTCGCAGGCGAGGTGACAGCAGGCGAGGGCGCTGCAAATGGCGAGATTAGGCAGAGACTGCTCTTCTCGATAGCCGAAGAGTCGGCAGGTTCAGCTACCTCATTCTTCTGGGTAGCCGCGGCAGCATCTGCCTCTTTAGATCGTTAGCGTCTGCCCAGTATCATATATACCATAAACATACTTATCTTCTTCGCCTTCTTTTGCCTATAGCGGCGATGATTACGCTTCCGCTTTGGGAGAAGCGTAGGGTCACGTACTCCCTGCACAAGCGAAGGCTAGTTCAACCAAAATGTTAATTCAGATCATACCATGCGTAGCTATGATGGGACAAGCAGAAGACCTCGACGGGTTGAGACCAGAGTAGATATAAGTACTTACGACATCAATGCCATAGTCTCGTAGATATCGGCGGAAGCTTGGATTCCGCTTTTTCTTATTCTTTGGGGTTTCCCCCGGAAAAGAGGGTCTTCCATTGTGATGGTTATGGCTGTTTTGAAAGGTAGATGGGATGAGATGCGAAAAGAGAAGAGGAGAGGAAGAGAAATGTTTTACGCGCGGGGAGTTGGAAAAGCTGAGCACCTTCCTCGTTGACTGAGACCCACTCTCTGTTTGACTGGGGAGGTCTCTCCCCTTACCAATAAACCTGTTTGTAGCAACTGACGAAATCTGTCTCACGCGGATATCTTCCAGCTATCGCTTCAAGTACGAGTATCTTTTGTCTAAACTTTATAAAAGTCCAAAGTATAAGTTTTCCTTTGGGATTGGGTGCTGTATTTCCTATGAGGGCTTTATACGTGTGAAGATGGACTTATCACAAGGCCACCCCGAAAAGCCAAGAGTCACCGAAGATAACCAGCATTTGGACACAGAGAATTGGTAAACTGTCCTTGTCAAAAAGTATGAGTTTTGATTTAAACGTATAAATTGAGGCTATACTAGATATGGAAAGCCATGGTTCTAGGAGATATGTCATGGTATTTGAATACAACCCCTGGGAGAAAATTATCAAAGCCAGAAACAATTCTGAGTAAGGAATAATTCTACCATCAGAAGCACCTTGTAGTCGATGCCTATCATTTCTCGGGATGATCGTATGTTTGGGTAGCATCTTATGCTCGGGCAGAAGGTCTTCAGAAACGACGTTTGTAATAGACAGTTCATAGGGAATTACGACAATAACAATGGTACTCATATTGGCATCCATTCTTTGTCTTCCACCCTCACTGACATATGAGTGCATTGTTCGCCGGATTGGCGTGTAATCTGGATATGTTCGGAAAAGCATTATTGCCTTTTGGCTTCTGCGAAAAATAACTGTGTTGCTGAGGAGCAAATCATCAAAATCTTAATGTTTGGAGACGAAAATGACCAAGGATGTAAACTCCAAAAGCTGTTCGTGGGTCCTATTGTCGATCACAAGGCGGTTATGAAACGCCTGCATTGTGAAATTAGCACCGACAACTGAACACTAGCAAGAGACCGGTAGATTAAATTGGAAATCAAACCTCGCTCGAGCGTATTGGAGACCATATAGAGGTATGACCCACCGACTATAATCGAAACGAGCCTGTATCGTCTGTTAGCCAGAGCTGCTGGCGGAAGATATGATATTCCCCGAGGTCAAAGAGGGTGGCGGCGATGAAGCGATAACAGAGAATTGTGTAGGAGGAAGTAAAGGATAGATGGAAGATTCAAGCAGGCCAGGCAGTAATTCGTCATGGAGACAACAGAGAAATCAGTTGCCAAAAGTAGAACTTTAGAAGGGAGCGGTGTTGGTTAAGTATCAAAGTCAGTGTAGTAGGAGCAAGGACACCCAGTGGCCTAGTTGGTAACTCTATCGAGCAGTACTGCTCTAGACTACCTTCTAGGTCAACTGCCTGGTTTAGAACACTGTCGAGAATTACGCACTCACGGCTCTGGGTTCAAACCACTCGTCCACTTTTTTTATCCTTTTTACCTCCGCTAGTTCAAATCCCCTTTTCTATACTTAGAGCATAAAGTAGTGTTTATTCTGACCAAACAGCGAGCTTGAATGATACGATGCTTTATTCACTTTGACACCAGGATAGAAAACATGCTATATGCTTGAACAGAAAGCTATTTTTATAGTAAGTCAGAGAGATGAACAAAGATATGGTAGAATTTATAAAATGCAGACAATCTTTCTATACATTAGTCTCCTCGATCGTGGTGGGCGCGTTGTTGCTTTTCTAGTGTGAGGATGACCAGAAAACAAATGTAGACGCCAGCAAATTCAGCAACACAGGCTGTTTGCACATCTCACGTAGAAAAATTCTCGTCTTTTCTCACTCCCTTCTGACTTCCCTCCCACTCTCATCCCCATTTTCATTATTTCACCAAATCTAACCCTAAAGATGGCTGCAAGCATTATGCAAAACCGCAAGAAGACTGACACAGTTACTGAAGATACTGTTATGAGTGACGAAGTCAAAAACGGCGAGAATGGAGCCCAGGAACACCAGTGAAGAAGAAGAAGAAGAAGAAGAAGAAGAAGAAGAAGAAGAAGAAGAAGAAGAAGAAGAAGAAGAAGAAGAAGAAGAAGAAGAAGAAGAAGAATAAGTTGTAGGCATATCATAACCGACGAAGGATGCAGGGATATAAGGACCAGCTTCAAAAGCATCACTATCTCCACGAGGCGGGTGTTGAGGCTGTCATTACTCCATCTCTCATCGCAATCATGTTGGAGGCTTAGACTGACAATATTCAGGTGCATGATACCCTCCTTCGCCTCCCTCGTCTGATCCTACCCTCCCCCGAAGGGCCAAACAGTCATTCCGGCGACTAGGCCATGAGAAGGCCAAGGGTATTCACCGAGACATGATATCGAACCTATACAACAGCAGATAGAAGCTGCAGCCGAAGCCGTCAATGCGGCTAGTGGGCAAGACCCAGAGCCCCAGCCGCAAGCGCCTCTCCCCTTCCCCAGAAAGTCTTGGGTGAATATTTTGCCAGATGATGAAGACGAGTGAGTGCGTGAAGGGGATATTGAGGTTTGTTTGGACCTGACTTCCCCCTTTCGGGCTCCCCCTTCGGGACAAAACCTTGGTTTGAGTAGCGGCGGAGCCATCACGCGTTTATTATCAACGGTTCCCATAGAATATGTTATCTACCGTCCAGAAGGCCATGAATACTCATAGACATGCGTGCTTTACCCAAGACATTTTGATTGAAAGTTTGTGGCATATCTAATTGAGAAACAGATAGAAGTATAAAAATCAAATAGAAAGGAGGATATCCACCAAGTCATACAGGTCTATGGTATACGGCTCGGGTCTCTAATAGACAGGCCATACCATGCTGTTATACTTCAAAAGGTGATATGAGGAACAAAAGGAAATATAGACTAAAGAGAGGGGGGGAAGGGAAAAAGAGAGTGTTCAAACCTAGTGCCGTGAGTGCGAAATTCTCGACTGCGACTCGCAGGGGGTTCGAACGCAGGTGGTTGACCTAGAGTGTAGCCTAGAGCAGTATGGCTCATGGTCGATCGAGTTACCAATAGGTGCTTATTACTTAACCAACGGATGCTTATTGGTTTTCTATACGGAACTAATATAGGGAGAGAGAGAAAAGAAAAATGATAAAAAAAGTGGACGAATGGTTTGAACCCAGAGCCGTGAGTGCGTAATTCTCGACAGTGTTCTAAACCAGGCAGTTGACCTAGAGGGTAGTCTAGAGCAGGTGCTGCTCGATAGAGTTACCAACTAGGCCACTGGGTGTCCTTGCTCCTACTATACTGACTTCGATACTTAACCAACCAAGTTATTTATCTGCGAACACAGAACAGCCCACTCTTTTGTGCTACACTCTCTGAAAACATGACTTCGGAAGTATTGGCAATGTGGTTATATAGTTGGAAATGTTCTAGACCAATTTTGTCTCGTTCGATAAGCGTGTCTACTTGATACATTATCCAACCATACACCCTCACATTATATGAATCGTAGAAATATTACTGGAAGACAATAGGGCATACTCCGTACAAAGTTTGATATTGGTCCATAAACAGATAGTCGGAGTGGGGTCGGAGTGAAGTCAATGGAGTGGCTAGCGTCAAGGCATTTTCGTTCACAAATTCCACGCATCGTCAATCTTAACAACACAACCTATGTATGAGTTCCATGATAAGCTTGCCGATTACTCTGCCACCGGTATGAATGTGGGAATCGGTCTTATTCGAAGGGAACCCGTGGGCAGCAGCGGTTATGAACTTAGAGCCCAAAAGATTCCGAATAAGGACGCCCAAGGAGGAAGGCATTGGCTCTCCTTTTATTTTTGTACCGGAGCTAGCCTTCACTCCTGGCCTTAATGTATTATGTTGAGAGTCGTCCGGTCGCAACGAAGAAGCATTTTGCAGCCGTTGAGAATGTCATCTATAACATCTTCATCATGGTCACACCTGAACCTCGGTGATTAGGATTCAAGGTCTTGCGAGATCTCGATCCGGGCGCGACTGCGATAGCGAAAGCGGATGACTGAGCCCGCATCATTTGGGTTGTCTGTTAGGTAAAGTAGGTTCCGTTACAGGATCAGGATGGATATAGTATAGTGAGGGATGGCGCCAGGAAACATTGGTTGGAGAGACGGAGGAGGAGATTTCAGATCTGCTGACATTAGCTTTTCAATTCTGAAAGTATCGTTATCACTTACCAATGATTTTGAATCAAATCCAGGCGGAGCAGACAAGGGCTGTAATTGAGAACTTCGGGGCGAGAACAACACAGAGTCTTTGGAAAGGAGGGATTCGGGAGACAGGGTCGTCTTTCATTTGCGAGGTGAGGAATCTGCAGGGCTCGGCTTTGGCGAAATAAGACGTAATTGGTGTGCAGGAAGTTCAGCTGCCATACCCGCGAAACGAGTATGCAAGTGAAGAGATGGAGGTGAGAGGGAAGCGAGGCGGCACGTAGCCTTGTATATGGCTCACCTCACTTCCCTCACTTCCTTCTAACATCCTTGTCTTGGTCATACATGGTTCCATGTAAAATTATAGCGATATGTTAGAGTCAACTACTATATGCATTAGACTAAACCTAATCAGGAACAGGCTCGAGATCGGTAGATTTATGTGGGGGATTGGTAATGTAACCCATAGAGTTCTAAGATAGCAAGCCCTTGGGAGGTCTTGAGATTCATTCTAGACCACACGTCTTTCTGTGACCAAGAACGCCAAGGTCAAGGCCAATAGTATGAGTGACGCGCATTTTGATACTGAAGTCTATGTTGTTGACATACAGTGAATGCCTTGGCAGAATACAGAATGTCATATCAAATATCATCTGCCCTTGTTGAAGGCGTAGTAAAAGTATAAAACTGTTATCATATACTAAAATTAGGGAGAGAGAAAAAAAAAGGATAAAAAAAAGTGGACGAGTGGTTTGAACCCAGAGCCGTGAGTGCGTAATTCTCGACAGTGTTCTAAACCAGGCAGTTGACCTAGAGGGTAGTCTAGAGCAGGTGCTGCTCGATAGAGTTACCAACTAGGCCACTGGGTGTCCTTACTCCTACCACACTGACTTTGGTATTTAACCAACGCCCAGTTCGTCCTAGGCCCCATCACGTCCTCGACTGCACCTCCCAGTTGTGTCCACCCAGCTGAGCTTTAGCTTTGTACAGCAACCACATATTTAGTTTTACCTACATGACTCCAGCATTGTTCAGCCACCCCCACAGCCACTATCGTCTAAACCACTTGGGTTTTATCCAGTTCTATTACAAACAGCGAGCTTGAATGATATGACGCTCTATTCTCATTATTGGCACCCATACAGAGAATCTGCTTTGTTTATAATAAGTCAGGATTAATGTTATTAAGGTGAATTCATATGTTAGTTTCTTGCTACAAGTCTTCAACTTGATTACTTGGATTATGGTGGCTACCCCTTACAATGCCTATATCTATTGGATGCACAACTTCAACTAGACTGACTTGGGGCGTGATTGTATATGGGATTTATCTGTTTTACATGCGTTGAGTCGTCGGGATAGAATTCTAATATGCTGAAGAGAATACTTACTTCACTGAAGGACAAATATATATCGTGTCTAGTATATAGTTCGATGATTTTGCCAGGAAATCCCATTTATCTGAGTAGGCAAGTCCAGCAGAAGCAAACAATGCAAGATTGAATATATATCTGATCAAGACTACCACACTACTTACTACACCATACGCCGTACATCCATCGTGCAGTCCGCAGATGCAGATCGACTTAGGGCACGGGTATCCACATGAGGATCGACATGCATTTAAGAACCAGGGTCTTGTAAGTCTTGCAGGGGAATGCACAAGAAAAAGAAAAAAGACGAAGAAATTCATTGCACTGGATTTGAAACCGAACTACTGCTTAAATGCTTTGATTTGATACAAAAATCCAAATCAACAAAAATAGAAAAAATACCCCTGTCCGTGCTAACGCTGCCGCACAGTGGTTGCCGATCACGTGGACATTTGCCTCAACCTCAACCAGTGGTCGACAATCAATTTTTTCCCCCGAGGGGCAAATAATCGTCTACACTATATCAATCGAAGATCAGACACTGTGCGAAACCGTGTCCACTGCCTCCAAGTGTAGGTGGTCAATTTCCGGTTCGAACTCCACATCGCAACCCTCGAAGGCCGACAACCCCGACTACATTACCGTCAAAGAAAACGCAGATCAAGAACCTTAATATTCAATATACACCCTCAAGCCACGTCGCCCTCGCCTCCGAAGCACCGAAAGAAAATGTTCGAAAACTTCTCCTTCACCTCGCCGTCGTCGCGACCCGGCCGCCTCGCCCTCGACACCGACGACCGGCTAATGGTCGACAGCGACAGCAACCTAATCTCCCCACTCTCCTCGCGCTGTCCCTCACCACAATCCCAACGCTTCCGCAACATCTCGCGCTCGCGCTTCACCCGCAACCAAAGCCAAAACCAACAACCCCCAACCTCCGTCCCCTTCCCCTATGACTCAGACCACAACCACAAGCGCCTGTCGATCGCAACCCTAACGCAGAAACTGCACGAACACACCCTAGGCGACCAAACCCGAGCCGGCAGACACACACAAGGCCCCCGGCGCTCCCCGGGCGCAGGCTACGTCCTCACACCACCAGACACAGACCACTCCGACGACTCCGGTGTCGACTGTCTCTCCTCGCCCTCTGCCTCCTCAACAACAAGCCCGACTTTCCCCCCGCACCTGATGTCCGACCTACCGGCTTTCGGCTCCGAACGCCCCTTCTACCCCCAGCCACATCCTTACCACCATGACGTCCGCACGCAGCGCCAGCAAATCTCCAGGCTGCAATGCAACGAGTCGGAGGTCGAGGCTATGCAGCGTTCGCTGATGGAGGACCCGTCTGCGTCGGCGGACCTCTGCGATGGGGAGGATTGTCATCCCAGCTCGTTGCCACCGCGGGCGTCGCCGCGGAGGAGGGCGGTTGCGCTGGCGCGGAGTCGGTTTGGGCCAGAGGGTGTGGCGGAGGGGAGGGGTAGGAGGAAGAGTTCTTCCGCCGGGGTTTTGGCGAGTCGCATTGAGAAGAGCCATTATGGGTTTGGGAAGAGGGGTGAGCAGGGTCTTCGGAGGAAGAGTCTTGTTAGTGCGGCTTTGGCGTCGATGGTGGAGAGGGATGATGATTAGGTTGGGTTGGGTTGGGTTGGGTTTAGATTAGGTTAAGGTTGGTGATGTTGCATTTTGGTTTCCATGGATGGCGTTGTATATACCTCGATTTGATACCCGAAATAAAGAAAGAAATATTCCGGAGTTGGAGATTGATCTGCGTTAGTAGACCCGTTCCTATGAACATCTACAAAGGTTACTGCTATTCCAAGATAATGAGTTCAAAAGTTTGAGATAACCGGCATGTTGACATGCGTCAAGTGTAAGTAAAATGATATAGATACAATGTGAGTCTCAGACCCAGAAAGAAGATGTAATAAAAGTAGTAAGAAGGACAAGGTAGAAAAGAACAAAAGAAAAGAATCGAGACCCGTATCCAGCCAGTCCACCCAATCCAATCCAATCCAACACCGAAGCGCCTCGCTCTTCAATCATAATGGACGTAAATCATAATCGAATTCCCGGTCGAAAAGTCACACACAGCCAGCTGTGGATTCACATAATCCAGCAGGAAGGTATCAGGCAAAGTTCACAGAACTCCCTAATGCCCAGATTTCCAACCAAAGAACTTCCGCAGCCTTTTCTTCTGGGTCTTCCGCTCATCACTCTTTCTCCGGTGGAACTCGAATCGCGGACTGGTTGCGCCAGTCCGCGCCCCTCGCTGCAGCTCATCCAGTGCGCGTGCAGGACTGCCCCGTAACCCCATCGTCTCTGCGTTCGCGGCTGCGAGGACGGACTGAACGTGTGGGTCGAGGTACACCGGGTCGTAGGTGAAGGGATCGAAGGAGCCAGAGTAAGGGGGTTTAGTGGAGATGGAGGTTGGATAGGGGTAGGCGGAGTCGAAGGAGGAGTACATGTGCGAGTGCATGGGTGAACCACTTGGTGTCTCCAGATGCGGTTCGCGGGGTGTTGGCAGGTCTTGATGTTCTTGTGAGGATGAATAGTCGTGGTAGTGGTCGGGTGTTGTTTCGTCTTCCCGTACGTCGAATAGGATGCCCCTGTCGCGCTCGTCGACTTGAGCCCAATCACCGTTTGCGTAGACGGGTGAGCCCGGCTCGCCAATCTCACTTTCTGAATAGAAAGTCTGCGTGGATGGGGTGGAGGGCCGACGAGAGAAATCTAGATTTGGAAGGCTGGTTTCTTCCGTAATGGGAGCCATGGGTGGTGATTGTGGGCCATCTCTACCGCTGCTTGGGTGGTCGTGAGTCTCGAAGTGTACTTCGTTGTTGTCAGTGCTCTGTGCAGGTCGGCTCCAGTAGTTGAAGCTTTGCTCATTGACGGAATAGTCTGATAGAGACCGGACGCGTTCGCCGACTCGCGGCGAGGCGATATCCGCCGGCTGACCTTTAGGTGTAGAGGGATCGGGTGAGATAGAGGTGTACAACGAATTACTAGAATAGAATGATGGCAATGAGGCATCGGTGAATTGGGACAGGGACACCCGGTCCAGTCCTTGCTCGATGGAGAAAGTCGAGTCTCGGGTATTGTCTGTGGAGACGGAGCAATTATCGACGTCTTCAATGTATGAGACGATGCGTGCTAGATCCAGCGACTTGCGCGGATTTAGGATCTCAAAGCAGGCGCCACCGTGTGAGACGGTGGCAACGGCCTGCGTACTGGCCAGCATTGAGTCCGAGGGTTGAGGTGTGGAGGCAGACTCAGGTTCTGTTTCTGTTTCTTCTTCCGCTTGAGCGTGAGCTTGGGCCTTTTGCTGAAGCTTTTCCCTAAAGGTATTCTTGGACTATAATAAGTGAGCTGGGTCTTTGTGTGGTGTCTCAGCCAACTTACCAATCGTTTCCTGTTAGGTCTAGCACGATTGCCGAGATCTGAGACAACGGGGAGTCCAGGGCTTTGTGTAGATCGGTACTGAACTATGAAGTGTTAATAAATGTTTAAGAGAATGGACCGGAAAGTCATAGATGCTTACCAGTCTGGGCTTCCCCGATCTCAGGCTCCTCACTCCAATGAGAGACAATGCTTTGCGAGCAGGAAGGAGACAGCGGCGGAGGACTCGAAGCCACGGACGATATAGATACAGGATAAGAGATGGAAAGAGGAGACGGGCGGTTCAAATGCAACGCAGCAGTTTTTCGCTTCAATTTCTTTCCTGTCTGATCGACGGGATCGCCAATGCGGTCTGCAGCCTTGGAGAGGAACTTGTGGTAGTCGTGGATGGAAAGGTCTCCCGTGATACGAGATTTGATGGATCGAGGGGGGAGGGACAAAGCGTCTCCCGCGTCCAAAAAAGGTTTGGAAAGAGGAGTAGTACATGCATGGTTATCATGGAGATCGAGACATTTGTGGCAGAGGGGGCTGTCCAGCAGCTCGCCATGCCATATGTCGTTGGCGGCGGAGTGGTTGAGGATTTCATTCATGTTGGAATTGCGAATATCCTCGATTTCGCGTGTCTGCTTGAAGGCCTGCTTCTGGATGTTTTCTCAAACCTCTCTTTAGATTGTCGACATATCCAATGCAGTAGATCCAAACCCACTTCTCCACACTGAACTTGATTCGTCAGATTAAGGCCGCAAGGGATAGGAGATAGGCTTACCGGTCGCAAGATGTCAATGGATCACAATAAACAAGACTGCAAGGTACAGAAGGGCAGGGAGAGTAATTTTTATGTTGAAAAGAAAAAGAAAATATAAACCGGGACGAACGGAATGTGCCTGGATCTGAGAGTATATCCACTCAATCAAGAACAATGAGTATACTCCGTATAGCCCCAGTTGAACTCGACCCATCGACCCAGTCGAACTAATTAAAAGCCAGGGGAAGTCCTACCGATCCAACGAAGAAGAAGAGAAAGGAAAAGGAAAAGGTCGAGACCGGACTGTCAGTGACCCATGGTTCGTCGATCAACTGGTCAACGTCATCTTTGTATAGGGATGTTATGTTGATATGTATATGTGGATATAACTATGTTATACGCTATATTATATGCTAGTATGCCTGAATTATACTAGTAAGAGAATATTCTATCGCGCCCAAATCACTTGCAGATGATCTCAGCCTCGATCTCCCCTTTAGTCTAGTCCGTTAGTTAGTTTCGTCCATCTATTTCCAACCAATCATCCACCCCAATCCCTAATCTTCACCAACCGCCTCTTAAAGCCCAGAACCAGTCGGCGAACAGAACGAACCTGTGTCTTAGCACACGACTGAGCCAGGCAAAAATCTTCCTTTCGGCTGTGGGGTCCAGCCCCCATGATTGGACATCCGGTTCGACTTCAAATGTGGCAAAAGAAAATATTTTTCCCCCCTTCTCCACCGGCAACATCATGACTTGGTCATGGTCGGACTTCCTTCCCAGGGCTTATCCGTACCTTGGGTATGTATGGGGTACTTTGCAGTGATGCACCGTTGATGCAGTCCGCAAGGAACCACGGGTTTTATCTCGTCTATCTGGGTCATATGACTCTCGCAATGGCTGATTCGTGTCGGCTTTCGGCTGGGAGGAAGTGGAAGAGTACGTACACGTACATTATGTACTCTGTTGAACTTGACTCTTGGTCTTTGTTCCATGGTCGGGCACCTCGTACGAGGTACCTCGTACCTGAGAGAATCAAGGCACACATGCAGATGCACACGTTGGCTGTTAGTACATAGATCGGCATGCCAGCTCATCTTTAATTGTGCCCAAGTCATCTGCCAATGTTACTGCAACCCCCAGATTTGTGTTTCACATGCAGCATGCAGAATGCAATTTTAAACGGATTGCTGCCTCGTTGCCCCAGGCTGCCCAGGTGACAGGCTGCCTAGGTGATCGTCGGGACTTACACAATTTTCCAGGGATTTAATGTGGTACAGAGTCTTCATGGTGGTGGCAACTGCCTCAAGGAGTATACTCGGATACTACCGTTGTACGAACTGCGATCGACATCGCTTTTCGCTATCTTCTTCTGGTTCTGGTACTTGGTGGATCCGTAGCAATAGATCTGGCTTAAGACCTCGATCTTTTATTGAACTCGGGACTCCCACGTCATATAGACTGAAACTGAAAATCACTGGAAGTATGTGAAAGAACAAGCAAGAGCAATTTAAGATTGTAATGCGGTCGTGATGTGGTATCGAACTGATCAAAGCAAAGAAGGAAGTAACCTGAACTCGGAAAAATCAAAATCAAATCAAAAACCAGAAAAGGAACCAACAAATATGCATGTATGTACGAAGTATGCAAGGGCCAAACCACCCCTCGTGCACCTCACTCTCAGTCTCAGTACCGTTTATACTTCTAAAATCGTAGTCAGCCACAGCCACGAACCAAAACAGGGCTCCGCGGAGATCACTTACATCTTCCATCTTGCGCCGATTGCTCGGGTCAAGGGTATTCCCCGCACCAAGCAGAGTCTGTCCCACAGCCTTGGAAACCCCGATAGCGGGTCGGAGGATGACCGTGGGCGCACGCTTCCAGACTGCCTTTGCGGCCGCCTTGGCACTCCCACTCTCGACCACCTCCCCTGGTACAGCGACGATCGCGTCGCGTGCTAAAAGTAGATCGCGCTCGAGGCCACTGAACGCCCCACGCAGTCCCTGTACCACTCCAACCGGCTGGTCAGCGTATAGTGAGATCTTCTTGGCTTCGTCTTCGTCCGCGGAGTCGTCGTCGAAGGTTGGTGCGTTGGGAGTCAGCAGGTCCTCGGCGCCTTGGAGAACGGTTTGTGTGCCAATCGCTAGTTTTGCGCCAAGTTTGACCAGCTCGTTGGAGGTTGTTTTGGCAAAGGCTAGCGCGCCCTTTTGGATGCTGCGCACGATTCGCCCGTCCTTTCTATATTCGCGCATTGGGATGACAACTAGGTCGCGCACGCCGCCGCCGACGTTGACTAGGGAGCGGATCGGCGCGAGACCCGCGAGCACGCCGGGTAGTTGGTTCTGCTTGACATCTGGCATCCAGATGTCGTTGAGAGTTTGGCCCATTCGGTCGAATCCGGACACTCCGTAGATGATGACATGTCGTAGTACCATGTCCGCGCCATCCAGCACGAAGAAGTTCATGAACTCAGTTGTACGCCCGGACCGGAGTCCTGCGTAGTCCACCCGCTTAGGCTTGAAGTCTAATTTGACTTGCACGGCGTTTATCTCTACTCGCTGCAAGAATGGAATATCGCCCGGAGTATCAGATGGTTCGGCGGTCTCATCTCTAAACTCGAAGAACCGACTCATAAAGTCGAGAGCATCTTGATCAACATGCAGCCGAAGGGGTAGGACAGTAACCTAAGAGTCAAGTTAGTACTGGTCTGAATTATGAATTACTGGGTAACGAACCTTGAGAACAATCTCCGATGCAGCGAGCTCAGGCACAGGCTTTACAGTCAGAATTTCAAGGTGAACCATGCTCGTTCCGCTCTCCTTCTCTCCAGCCTCACGCATGTAGGTCGCGAACTTCTTCCATGTGGATGTCGGAACATGATCATAAATTTCCAGATCCTTGACCCGCACATCTAACGAGCTCTGGGTCTCTTCTGAGCCCGGTGGGAAGATAATCAGATCGGCAGAGACACCCTTCAACTCAAACGTCATTTTGTGGTGTTTGCTCCGATGCAAGCGCAATTTCTTCTCCCTCTTAGAGCCTGACCGGCCCTGGCGACTTCCAGCCCCAGTCAGGGTAGCGGTTGTCGCATAGCTCCCGGTCTCGCTAGTGAAATCATCGATGTCATGATTGATCTCGCGGTGGAGTTCCCGTGGATCCTTGTTGGCTGGGATACCGATATAAATGGAGTTGAAGAGGAAATCGCCAATGACAGACTCCTCTTCATCTTCGGCCAAAGGTGACACTTGCGAGCCCCTGGAACGGCGTTCTGTGGCCTTGATTTCCACGTCCTTGACGGCTTTGGATATTGTGTCACGCGTGCGCTGCCAGTCATACCCATCAAAGAGATTCCAGATGAAATGCACGTCTCGCACCCGCACACGCAAAGGACTCCGCTCGAGCTTTGTGTCGTTGGTGAAGCCATAGGTGTTCTGGGTAGAATCCCATCGATGGGCCGTTCCACCCACAGCTGATTTCTTTGCAAAATGGTCCTCCTGGAAATCCAATTCCGTCATGCTGGAAGATACTTGGTATTGGGAATGGAAGCTGTCCAGCAGATCATTGGAGCCCGCTTCCATGCCCTCAACGCCCACACCACCAGGGCCACCTTTCACGGGATAGAAATCGCTAACGTATTCAAGTTCGTCGGTCAACTGATCTTCTCCGGATGACCCTTCGGGGATAGTTGCCAGATCATTATCGTTGGAAATGGGGGGATTAGCAGCAAATGCGTCCCCGGTGAACGAAGCAAACATATCTTGGATGGGCATAACCTCTGTTCGATATTTCATATTGACGTTCGGTGGAGTTGGAGGCTGTAGCCCATTCATGATGCTGATGAGCGTCTGTGTGGAATCCGCGCAGGTCTCGAGAATCAACAGATCATCTCTCAGCTCTACGTCCAAAGACTTTGTCCCATCCTCCGCGCTGGTAAGCTTGACACTAGCAGTTGCCGATGAGATGGAAGAAACAGGAACATAACCTTTATCGATATACGCTTGAGCCTGGGTGTCTTGGGAAACGACCGATCCTCGTTGGTGCAGGTTATAAGCCTCCTCATGGTACACGTTGTCGATGATCATGAGCGAGGCTTTTCTAATATCCAACGATGCTTCTGCTGATTCGTCTCCATGAAGGCTTCCTCCGAACTTGGCATTGGTGAGGACTGCGAGGCCTTTTGCATGGGAATTGCGGGGGTTGAGGCCAATAACACAATCTCTGAATACGACTGCCAATTTGACAGGTTTTGTCGAGGAGCTGGATTCAGTCGACATAGGTCGCCCTGTCATCGAAGATGACGGTATCGAGTGCTCTGCAAGGTTGGCGATAGAGTTGACCATACTACTAGCGAGATCCCCGCCCATCTTGTTGCCACCCAATCCAAGGAAGGCCGTCACTGATGGAACCGTGTACTCGACAAGGAGGTTGTGCAGTTTGATCTTGTAGGTAGGATCCATTTCATCGGGTATGAAACGAGCCATGAGGACCGGCGGATAGGACTGGTCTGGGTCCTCACACCTGTTCGGCGGCCACAGGGCTTGTCCCACCAGCTCTTCATCGTTATTCCGACTGACGGTCATGGTTCCAATTTGGACCGCAGTGAGCGAAGGCATGGTGATGTGTGCGACTTCAACATCGGTGAGTTGACTCTTGAGGTCTCCGACTTCTCCGCCAACGTGCACATGTCCTTGGAAGTCACGCACTAGCATCAAAGTAAGAATGCCGGGGCGATCATCTTCCGGCAAATACTTGGTGACATTGGAAAGCCGACTCAGCTCGACAGCAAGAGACGAGAGAGGCTCTAACCCGCTGGTATCTGAAATGAACGTTTCTAAGCGTCCGACTGTCACACGAAGAACTGATCCTTGTCGTCGCTGGCGCAACAGCGTGTCTAGCATGATATCATCTTCCACCTCAAATTTGTCCTGGGACGGAGTGATCAATGTCAAAAGACGATCGAGATCGACCTCCTTCGGGGCAAAAAGGAATTCAAGGCGGATGTTATTCAGAGTGATTTTGGCGGGAGTATCAGATGAAGCATCATCAATTGAAAGTGGACCAATCACCTTGGCCTTGTCTATTTGAATACCAATCCCTTCAAATCTGCTGACGATTTTGACGGCGGTCGTGGTAAGTTGAAGACAATGGGTTTCACCAGTAACATCCAACAGGATGGCACCAACTCGGGCATTGATTTTCAATGGGGCTGACTTGCCCTTGGTGGTGTCAATAGCTGGAACAGATGTCTCAAAATGCACACCACGTGGGCGCGCCTTGGTAGGTGGCGGGCAGCCTTTAACCGTTGACACGGACGACATAGAACTTCCAAGTTCAAGAATGGTACTCAGCCCACCCATCCAGCCTAGGACCTCTTCCAGCCGCTGTACATTGAGATTGATGTGGAGAGGTAGCGTGGAGATGTCAACCTTGGTCAGATCTGACGACTTGACCAAAGAGATAGAAATATCTCCCTGCGAAGGTGATAAAACATCACGCGTAGATTCACGCATCTTCAATCTTTCATCAAAGAATATGATATCCTCGGAGGCGAACCCGAATGCAAACTTGGACACGTGAAGCTTCAGCTTGGTAGTTACACTTTGAGCTGAAAGACGAGCATCTAGACCAGATAGGGAAAGACGAAGGATCACATCGTCCATGTTGTAGGGAGGAGACGAAGACGAGCCATTATCGTCGGACGAATACACATGCCCTGGAACATGTTCAATGAATTTTATTGAAAATGCATGGACGGCAAGATGAACAGGTGGTGTGCGCGCCGGCTGGTCCTTTCGTGACTGCTTCGCAGACGGATCTTTTTCAGCCGTATCAACAGCGTGAGACAGTTTTTGTCCTATCTTGGTTAGGAGCCAACCAGTTGCAATATCAAAATGTACGGAGATAGAGAACACTTCCACTGCAATTTCAGGCAGTTCAGGTCCAGCACTTGACTGGGCCCGTGCCTCAACAAAGTCTCTTCCGAATCTCGTAGATTTGTAAAGTCTAGAGGCAAGTAGACTTTCCTCTGGTGCAGAGTCACCAAAGCTAACTGTGGATTCAGTTAGGTCACTCTCTGCGTTCTCTTTCTGCGGCACAGGCGAGGACAGGGCTGACGCCTCTTCTTCGGAAGCAGGAGGCGAAAACCACATCAAGATCTTATCCACAGTCAATACCGACTTCCTCATTTCATTGGTTCTGTGCAACCCAGGAGACGATGAAGTTGAGGGTCTGTCCTTGTGCAATGTCTGAGATTGGCCTTGGTCGTCCAGATCATGCCCCTCAGTGACATTGTCTCCTGATGGAGATGCGCACCTTGAATTTGCTTCATCTTGAACTTGGGTGGACTGTGCCGGGTCAATGGGCGCGATTCTTTTAGATCGGTCATCGAAAGCACTCCGGGATTTTGATCCACGGTTAAACGAGCCCCATCCACCTGGTATGTGAGGCATGAAGCTGTCACCCGCATCCTGGCTAATAGCACTCATGTAAAGGCTTTGCGCTTCATCGTGAGAGAAAAGCCTGGACTCGTTGAGATCGACATTTGGGGTTTCTTCCCGTGGGCCCGTGCTCTCGGGCTCTGGGCGTGGAGATGTACTAGAAGAATGGGATGATACGCTCAATTGTGATCTTTCATTATGTTCATTTTCGTTGTAATCGTTGTAATGCTGCGTGGGCGGCGTGGGTTCGTCAATTTCAGAGCCAATTTGGCCGTTATGTGTGTCGTAAGTCCGGGACATATGATAGCTGTCAGACGGAATCAAGGGCTCATCAGAGTATTCCACCCGTTGGCTCTGATGCAAGCTTTGTGGGCCATGAGACAAGTGGCTTCCCCATTGATTCCCGAACCGTCGGTCTTCTTGAGGATGTATTACCGGTGACTGCTCATCATCGAAATCATCGAATTGAGTGTCTATAACCGAGTCTAGGTACCCAGGATTGTCTTGGAAGGGGTCATCTCCAAATACATGAGAATCCTCCAGGTATCCACCATGGTGACTACCTGACTCGGAGTCGGCGTCTGAGAATCGACCGTGCGAAAATGCAGATGCCTCCAAATCGTCTGAGGTAGTACTTGAATGACCAAAAGCTTGCGGCGGCTCGAAAATAGTTGATTGGGTCATAGCAAGGGGTTCTTCGACAGAGCGATACAACGGAGAGGGTGATGACGCTCTGCTTGACGGCTCGCTCCCTTTTGATCGCATAGTTGTCGATGGGGATGCGGGGGCAGCAAACCTAGAGTAGTTTGAGAACACCGATGGGTCGGAAATTAAACCAACGTTGATATCGGCGATTGATATTAACCGCTTTCCTTGTCGGAATGGAAGAGCCTCCTCCGGACCAACAGTTTTCTCAGATACTCCGTGGACATCGATTTCCCCGACGCTCAGCAGACCCGCGACAAGGTCCGGCTTGTGTTCAGGCTGCCGTTTTGACGTTCCATCTTGCTTCAACTCCATATCTACTCGCACAACTGCATCCTTTATCTTGAGTTGGAGTCGATCCACAACGCCTTTCAAGAACCCGGCCACAAAGCTCGGCAGTGATAGAGTATCACTCCCGAGGCCGAGCTCGTCATCGTCATCGACAGACCAGGCTAGTGGGTCATGGGGCAGGACCTGTGACTGTGACGCTATTGCGGCTTGCAGCTCTTCCCTCTCCTCCTTTGGCTCGGACTCAAGGAATGACTCCGCAAGACCAGACGGTGTGGGCACCGCCGAATAGTCATCTTTTCCGCCTTTATTTTTTGTGTTTTGTTCCTTTTTCGGCTCCTCTGACAATAACCGAATATGTACGTCGATGCCGTTTGCCTCGCACAGGATCCCGCTGTTGTGGAAATCGGCGGGCAGGGTGATTCGAAGAAGCTGAACACGGGCGCTGAGCAGCTCACACGACGGAGGAAGATTGAGTATCGTCGATAGTTTCTATTCCGCGATGTGAATAGTTAGCCCGCACTGCTCTATAGGTCGGGTTCGATGATCACGACAGGCCGCCCCGCCGCCCGCGGAGGCTCACTGCACCCACTCACTCACCTCTAGTTTTAGACCGATATCCCTCAACTCGATGGTAGACCGTTGTCCCCAGCGGATACCTAAGTTATCTGGATCCAAGGCCTCTGTGTCGACCAGGCCCAGGCGAGAGAGGGCATATTTGAGGAGCCGCTTCTGGAAGAACGATGGCATAAAGTACGACGCCATCGTGACTGGGAGCCGGGACAGGGCTCGTTCATGTGCCGACTCGGATCATCGAAAATAGCTTAACAAACACAATAAATCAGCCAGCTCCGACAAAGCGGAGTGGATGGGAGGTCGTGAAGGAGGGAATGTTCGTCAATGACGTTCCGGGCACCTGATAAAGGCGCGATAAGTACCGGAGTCAGGCGCCGACGTGCCAACTCACCGATTGACACCAGATTTGACCAATTATCTTCTCATTGAGTTGTCTGTTTCAAATTACTTCGATGGTGATAAAATTTCACTTACACCAGTCGAAAAATTACCAAAATCAACTTTCGTGTTCTCATAGTTAGTTGGTTATTGTTCGTGCTAGGTTACTAAGTATATGACTCGTAACTATATTTTGGACACAGAACTTCAATCATCCCCAACATCAACATCGTATTCAGCAAACTCCAGCACAACCCACTCGCAGAATTTCTCAAAACTCGAAGCGAAATCCCGCAGACGTTCAGATTTCAGTCCCTTCCCCATTACCCCATTTTGAATACCAGCTTTCCACTCGGCGGTCGACTGGTCTTCGTAGCAGCTCCACCGGATGGAGTTCTGGGCCATCATTGATAGGCCGACTAAATCCACATTTTCGAGTCCCTGCAAAACCTGCCAGAAATCATGTGTCAATCCATTTCTTCCGTGGCCAAGAATTGCGGGGTCGTCGTTGCACAGCGAAACAGGGACGCCTCTGGACAATAACGCGGGCAAGGGATGGGATTTGATGGAGCTAGCAAGCCGGAGCACTTCGTTCGAAATCGGACAGCATTCTACGAGGATCTTCTTCTCTTTGACTAAATCAATGAGTAGAGGATGCTTGTAAAGTGAGAACCCATGGCCGATTCGGCGAGTGCCAAGAAGGATGGCATCGAATAGGTTGTGGTCTGTCGTGTCGCCGTCGCCGAGACATTCTCCAGCGTGGAAAAAGAAGGGAATATCAACGCCTTCTTCCGCACATTGCTTCCGGAACCAAAATAGCACGGGAACAAGGTCGACTAGCGGCCTCCCGTTATCCTCTTGGCCAACAAGATCAAACCCGCTGATCAGAGCGGGGAACTCCTGCTTCGTTTCGATGCACTGCTTCATGCTATTGACAATCGCCTCGTTATCAAACCACCGGAGCGTAGTCCAAATAATGCGAGGATCGTAGAAGTCCTTCCCTTCGTCCGTTTGTTTGAACTGAGCCACGACATCTTCCACCACACGACACCACTCGAAGTAGTCTTCTTCGGGTTTTTCATTTCCTTCCTTTCGGAATTCGAAGATAAATGCAAGGCGGAACTCCACGTATCGAACTCCATCCTTGGCAAGCTGTCCGAGCAACCGGAGGAGACAGGCGCGGAAGATAGGCTCGTACATCACGAGAGAGCCGACAATTGGGAAAGTCTTAGTGAAGATAGCCCAAATTGCGTCTACTCCGTGATGGTGGTGATACGAATGCTCTGGCATAAGCACACATCGAGTATTCAACCATTCCCGGAAACCCTTCTCTCCCCCGTTAGGGAAAGAGGAGGCGGCCTTCTGGATCGAGATCAATGACGAGGCCTCGTATGCCTCCGACCAAATACTTGGCTTGTCTTCGGACGTTTCTAAAGGCTGCGAGGAATACTTGAAAAACACGGGCCCTATTTCGTAATCTTTGGCTGTGATCAACGGCTTCGGCGCTAACATGTGTATGCCGGGCGTGGAGAATGCCAGGTCAACTAAGAAGTCCATGTCGAACATGGCTTCCATGTGGGCATGTAGGAGAGACCCCTTGGGCATCTTTTCCACGATTTTCCATAGTTTAGTCGTCTCCATGCGGCCTTTCGCCAGATTGAACATGACACCGGGGTACAGGATTTCATCTGCCTGGTGGGCCGCGTTCTCATTCAATCCACTTGACCACAGCTCGTTCTGTTCCTGAGCTCGGATATGTGACACAATTTTCGTCGCCCGGGCGGCGATAGGTGATAGAGATTTGCGCAGATTTGCATCTACAAAAAAAGTCAGATATGAAGTTTTTTTACTTGATTTGAGTGGGAAATACCATGACGTCGCTTTTTCTCTTCCATAATTAAAGCATCGCGTCCTTTCAGATACTGTTGGATGAAGGGATCCTCAAACTGAGGGATTCCCTCCTCCAATTCCCATTCATTCTCTGTATTTGCCATGATCTGAAGTGATTCAAAAAGGTTGTAGAGTCGACGCTCAGAGTGGGACCAGATTGTCGAGAGGGGAAAGTTACGCTCCCCGCCATATCCGTTTTCGTCTGGTAGCCTTGAGTGTATCGTCTACTTTTGATTGGCGCAAACTAGAAACAGATTTGGATGGAAACTGCGAATGAGGTGAAGTGCGACAGCCTTCCATGTTATTAGTTGGTGTACAGGAAAATATACATTGATGTACCTTTAGTGTGGATAGCTATATCGAGAAGCCGGTCCTACTCGCGACAAAATAAACAGCTCAACAGCGACCACTGATCAAATAACCATGTAAGATAGAGTGAAAACAAGTGATGGTATGTACATATGTTGTAGACTTTTCTCTTGATTTTTCTGTGATCGTGAAAGCTTCGCCTCATGAAAGCTTCGCCTCATTATCATATCGACAGCTTAAAAGAACATCCAATCCCCGATACGGTTGTATTTCTACCAGGGTGAAGTTAGGATAGCCTTGATACACTACATTGAGATAGTTAGGAATTCGGAGGTTGGCTGCAATACATTAGCAGCCAGATTTCACGTCATTGTCATGGTCTCATATTAAAGGTAGCCCATCTCATAGCATCCAGCAGCTCAATTGGCTTGACAACACGTCCGTCACTAGATTCCCACATCCGCTGTGCTGGTCTACACCATCGAAAATGGTCCAAAAAGCCGTCTCGCGCATACACTTTGTCTTGAGCATCAACTAGCTCGGCGTAGAATACATCGTCCATATCAACATCATCAATTTGACACCCGGTACACGAAATTCCGTGCTCAATTTGGCCAGTTTGCTCATCGTAATATGGGGTGCACATGATCCCATGAAGGGAAATTTTTCAACCCTAAGATTTTGTTCGGAGCTGACAAGCTAGGCTTGCGCGAGTGTATGTGGTTGCTGCCTGCAAGCCAAAATAGGAAGAATCTGATGAAATGAGACGATCGTTGTACGGCGGTATTTATATACAATCTCACGCATCACATATACTCCAGGCAAGGCCTTGAATGTGGCTATTTGGTTTCGTTCGGCTTTAGTCAAATGGAATTGCTTTTGGACAGCGGCAAAATTCTGCATTTTGATTTCCGAAGCCTCCCGAAGGCATCCAAAACAGCATCGCCTCCAGGGCAGGAGGGATATAAATCCGTCGATTTCGCCGCAAATAGTACAATTCTTCGTACACAGTGCGTTGTAAAAGTTGAATAGAGAAATGCCAATGGCAAGTTCTGTTCGTATTGTGGCGCAGAAAACGTTCAGTCCATGTAAGACTACCGTCTGATACTAGCTGAGAGAGTCTACCATATGTCTTGATATGTGGTTTACTTGTCGAAACCTGAAGAGAGAATGCATATCTAGACGGAGAAATATGTCGCGCAAGAGCTTGTGGAGTAGATCGAGCGACCCGAGTTCACCATTTGTAGGGAAGGGTGTTGCTATTGAAGTACGAATATCGACGTGTTCATAAGGCGAGTACCAGATCAACAGAAGTCGGTGCGATGGTAAGCGACGCCTCGAACAATGGCGGCAGCTTGCTCTTCACTGAAACGGTACTCAGTGCGGGAGATATAGTAGTCATTTTCGGGATCCATCGGTAGGCTGATCAAAGGAGATCGAACCAGGTTGAAATCGCGACTTTCCAGTGACAATTCTTGCCAATGTGTACAAAACACGCGTGTTATTTACCGGAAAATATATTCTCCGGTAGGCTTTGTAAGGTACAACATCCAGTGTCTTACATACCTGGCCTCGGGATGCACGCATAATTACATACGGCCAATCGGATTATGTAGACTCCTGCGCATAAGAAAACGCTAAATACCCCAATCTCAGAAAAAGTTCAAGGTGGAGGCATGAGGGGAGCCAAGGATGGTTTAAGTTACGCCATGAGGCTTGTACTGAGATTCTCATCCGGCGAGATCTTGGCTGTTTGCGTATATATTAGCCAAATGGCTGACCTATTGGTGAGTTACACGTCCATTGTAATGTAGGAAAGGGATGGAAATCAATTTCACGCGTTTACCCATGAATGCGAAATCTTGGCAAATCTGATAACTTTCCAGGATTTTTATCGACCCGTGTTTTCCGGTTGAGAGAACATGGCCGGCCCATAATGCCAAGGTACATTTCCAAGCAGCTATGTATACGAAGCTTGACACTGACGTTAGAAGGGAATGGGCCTGATGGGTCTTGATTGAGGTGACTGGATGTGGTAAAGATCTCTAAGCCACTGACGATCTGATTAGATCTTGTCGCAGGCCCCAGTGGAGCAAGGGTCCACGGCCTGAACGAATATGTTTGGACTACATTATATTAATACCGCGCACGTTGTAACATTTTTGATCTGGGAGGAAAGGATTGTCGGTCGTTCAAAATATGCTAGCCGACGTGCCGACTTCGATGTTTTACTTTATATGTGGGAATTTCGCTTGTTTTATTACTTGCCTTTCCCTCTTGGTTTCAAAATCTTCCTGAAACCTTCAACCTCTCTGAGTCGTTGGAATTTTGTGTCTTATATCCATTGCCATGACGCTTCGTCCATTGATACAACGGGCTTGGGCAGTCTTTCGCCGAATGAAAGTCGACAGTGATGACGCTGCAAGTTCTTCTTCGGTCGAAGTAGACAGAAATACAGTAGAGGCGGAGAAATCAGAGGGTTCAATCACCCATCCTGAAGAGGCACTTCCAAACAATGGTGCCGAGCTACCAGGTGTGCCCTATGAAGAGCTTCAACATGGTATCCAGGAAGTTGAGGCTGTGGCTCAGACCTGGTCGAAACTCTCCTTGATCTTCGTTTTCATAAAGTAAGTCAGTTCACCCGCTTTTCTGCCCTATCGCTAATCATATAATTCAATAGTATGTGGTTCCTTTACTTCACCTATGCCTGGATATCGTCAATCGATGGCAGCTTGAGCACTTATGTGGCTAGCTCTTTCCAACAACACTCCTTGTCTGGTCTTCCTACCGCGATTGCGGATGCTTTTTCTGCTGCCGTCTTCCTTCCAGTGGCCAAGATGATGGACACCTGGGGACGAGCCGAAGGCTTCCTGGTGATGTCAATTTGCGCCACCGTAGGCCTTGTTCTCATGGCCTCTTGCAACAGTTTCGCTGTCTATTGCGCTGCAAATGTAAAACAGCCCGGGAATATCTATGAATTATCAAGCATGTGCTAATAGGGGATTTAGGTGTTTTACTACATCGGCTTCGGAGGCATGCAATTTGCCGTGGACGTCATCACCGCCGATCTCTCCCAGTTGAAAAACCGAGCCCTTGCATACGCTTTCACGTCTTCTCCGTACATTATTACGGCCTTTGCTGGGCCAAAGGTGGCGGATCTATTCTACGCCCATACTGGCTGGAGATGGGCTTATGGTACTTTCGCCATCATCTTCCCTATCGTGGCCGCTCCGTTGTTCTTCGTCCTGAAGTTCAATCTAACAAAAGCCAAAAAGGGAAATGCTGTGGTTATCAGAGAGAACAGTGGACGGTCATTTCTTCAAAGCGTCTGGTTTTGGACACTCGAATTCGATTGTGAGTATTCCGAACTACCAACTGATTCTTCTACAGAGAACTAATAGTATCATAGTAATCGGAGTCTTCATCTTCACTGCGGGACTTGTGCTATTTGAGCTTCCATTTGACATTGCTAGCGAGGCTCCTAACGGCTGGGGCACAAATTATATCATTGCCATGATTGTGGTCGGATTCTCGATGCTCTTCTTCTTTGCTTTTTACGAGAGGTATATCGCTCCTACGCCTTTGCTCCCATACTCCTTCCTCACAAACCGAACCGTCGTCGGTGCATGCCTCTTAGATGCCACGTATCAGCTTTCAAACTATTGCTGGAACAACTACTTCTCGAATTTCCTTCAAGTGGTTAATGACCTCACTATTGCCGAAGCTGGGTATATCACTAATACATTCGACGTCGTTTCTGGTATACTTCTATTCTTTGTTGGATGGGCTATCCGAAAAACTGGTCGCTTCAAGTGGCTCCTTTACATTTCCGTTCCTCTATACATCTTTGCCCAGGGTTTGATGATCTACTTCCGTCGTCCCGGCCAGAGTGTCGGCTACCAGGTCATGTGTCAAATCTTCATCTCCATTGGCGGATCGATCTTCATCATTGTCGAGCAGCTATCTATTCTCGCTGCCGTTGATCACCAGCATGTCGCTACAGCCCTCGCCTTGCTCAACGTGGTCGGTACCATCGGAGATTCTGCAGGTCTTACTATCTCTATGGCAATCTGGAACAATACTTACAAGAAGGCCCTCACTTGGTATCTGCCAGACTTGAAAGACCTGGACATGATTTATGAAGATCTCGAGACACAGCTGAGCTACGCTCCCGGTACTCAGATGAGAACAGCAATCCAGAAAGCGTACGGCTATACACAAGTTAGGATGCTCTCTGCTGGCGTGGGGGTGATGGCTCTGGCATTTGCGTGGACTATCATGATCAAGAATATCAATCTGAACAAGGTTGCTCAGGTTAAGGGTGTGGTGTTCTAATAGGTAAATCTAGACCCCAAGAAGACACCTACCACCTGGTTATTGATTTTGTTTGTTTGTATATTTTCATTGCTTCTGTTCATATAGTGAGAGTTCTCATCACGGCTGGCAATGGATTTTTCGAACGTACAATGTGATCAGTTGCTAAAATAGCTTTTCTAGTACGCTATCCTCGGATCAGGAAGGTAACACCTCTCCAAACGTTGGTACTATGCGGGTATTTTGAACTAGGCAATGATCAGCTATGTTTCCGAGTTTACGGTTTCCACTTCGCCATACAAAAGAAGCATCTCACGAAGATATGGAGACGTGGACATTTCAACCTTCCAAAATACCCTGCATAGAAGTTGGCGCCGTAAGAAAATAAGATATTACTCATCTATGCATACAGGCTTCGAGTAGGCGAAGAGGAAAGCAAGGTGACCAACCTCTCGTATAGAGAATCGTCGCCCGGATAGCCTGGGGGCCTACGGAAATCTCTCCATCTGGAAATACGCTCCAAGAGTAGACGTTGCTGCCGAGTAATATGCTTAGCTTTGCTTTACGGGCTTTGGAACCAATCGAGCAAAGCTGCATAAATTGAAGGATTCTAGTAACTTGATGTTATTGGTGGCCCCGCAACCGAGCGAAGGAGAGTGACGGCTTGGCGTAAGATCAGATAACTCGAACAAGTCCATTAGGACAACATAGCCGATCCTGCATGTATGGCCTGCTGGCTGGGGGCCAGAAAATAATCAGATCAAAATGTATAAAGAGAAGCTCGTTTCCTCTAATAACATCTCACTTACCATCTCTCCTTCTTCCGCCGATTTGAAACCTTGAAAATCATAACCAACATCACCATGAAGCTCTTCAACGTTGCCCTTGTTGCTGCTCTTGCTGCGTTTGCCAACGCTGCTGCTGTCCCAAACGCCGAAGCTGCTTTGGACACCAACCCTCTTGAAAAGCGCTGCAGATCAAGTATGTTTCTATCATGATCATGATACCTCTCCTAGACTTTCTTAGAGTGTTAGGAATACGAGGCTAACGTTACATGCGATACTAGCTCACAGCCCATGCCTTCTCCCTGGCGATTGCTGTACCGGTGTGTGTGTTAGTGGTGGTACCATCAACAAGTTCACTAAGTACTGCACTTAAGAACCTTTGTCTATTGGATATGGTACGAGTATCTCTACAAAATATAAACATTTACTGATCACGAATGGCCATCTATAGTTATCTATAGGGCTTCGAAGTTGAATGATATGATGTCTTAGCATGTAGGGTTCTCGGGGACTCCTGGAAAGCGAAAGATAGAAAGTGTTCACTATCGAAACAAATTAACATATTCAGAGATAAACTCAGTGCGTACTAGATGCTCTGAGAGTAGCCATAGGGCCCCACTAGCATCTGTTTGCTCCCCTACTTCAGATATTTCCAGGACTTTTCTTCTCAGTCTTCTTCCTTCAAACATCCACCCAGAGACGGCTTCGCCCTGTCTTTTCTAGTACAGCTCTTCAGATTGCTCGCAATCTGATTGCTTTAAGCAGCAAATACTGCCTTTCGGCCTTACATTTGCGGCGAAGTGTCACGCCGTGATACTCGATACCCAAGGGTCGTCACCTCGTCAGTCACATCCCATCAGTGTGTATGTTTGAGCTTGACTGAATCTAGTTCCGCTGACAAGTTCCATCTTCATCAGATTTTGAAGCATATAGCATCACATCTGCCTTGATTCCCCTCCACGTCGGTCACAAAACAGCGCCACTCTACACGAAACGAGATTTGCACTCAAGATACAAACATTTCAGATCTTGTCACGAAAGTCTCTCTCTTTGCCTACAATTGCTAAATCTAGGCATTCGACAGTGCCCGCTCCAGTCGTCATGTCAACCCCCATCGGAGAAAATTCGATTTCGACTTCAAAGTCCGTAAGGACGAGATAGACTTGTCTAAATTGGTTCCTAGGCTGAGCTAAAACCCTAAAAAAACCCAAAGCCCTTGATAGAAATGCAGCCTCAATCTTGGATTCTCGTCTAAAGGTCTCAAACTTTCGCGTTCAGCGATATCAAACTGTGGCCTGATGGCTTGGGGGAAGGGCCACGGGGAACGTTTGAAAGGACTGCAATGGAGTAATAATTGAAATGATATTCGGTCAATGATACATGAAAAGCCATTCGCCAGAATCGAGGATGCTACGTTTGCATCAAGTCCACAGTACATCTGTTTTGCAAACGACGGAAATGCAGCCACCATAGATGAGCGAATAAGCGAAAGGGCCGCAAGGACTGAATCGAACTCATTTAGGGCATATCGGATAAGGACAAGAGCGACAGTTGAAACAACCCAGTGAATATCGACGATCATAGGTGGATTGTCCATTCGAACCACCACAGACCTGCTGCCAGCACAGGAGCGCCGATTGAGAAGCCGAGAAGTTTGTGCTCTGGTCTCACTGCAATGCCTTGCTCTTCGTATTTGACGATTGTTCGGTGATCTTGTGCGTGGGTGAGTAGTCCTGATACGAGACCGATGCAAATTGCGATGACGGGTAGACAAGATGATGTGCTCGAGAATCTCATCGATTCGTACATTGTGTAGATCAAAGCGGCTGCGATCGCCTGACGCGAAACCCCACCAGAAAGTACATGAGTCATATCTGGGTATCAATGCATGTGTCAGACGTTGTCCAACAGGCAAATTCAGGACGAAATTGGAGCCGGAGATTCATTGAACTTATGCATCAAGTTCTCGAACGTCTTGACAAGCTCGCTGCAGCATTTTTTGGGTAATGGTAATGTCTCCTTGCCCATTTTCACGCATAAGCAACTTGTAATCTAGTTTGATGTCTGGACTCGAGCCCTTTACTAGTGTGACGGCATCTTGGGTAACTCGTAATTCCTGCGTAAGCGAAAGTAAAGGCTTACCACCCTGGCGTGTAACTCGGCTTTGTGGAACGATAGGCGCTGACCATAGTTCGACATCCACCCTAAAGGGGGTTCCTTTGTGAACTTTGAAGAGCAGTATCAATCGAGTATGGTAGTTGGAGTTTGAATACCACCATTGTGCATCGTTTCGGAGAGAATTTTTTGACTGCGACATGCCGACTTCAACCACAAGTGATGGCCATTTGCTAACGAACGTAGAGTTTGGATGGGACCTCGGTATTATGCTGAAATCAGGTTGCTTTGAACAGTTGAGCCCCGCCAACTCTCTAGCATTAGTCGCCAACCAGCGCTCCCCCGAACTCGGTAAGCCAGCCGCAGTCATTGCATCCCCAAATGATAAGGTGAACTGGCCAATCACACATTCGTGCTGTCCGCTGGGCATAATTCTCAGTAGTATCTTGCGATCGTCGAAAGTGAATCGCAGTCCACGGATCCTTTCGTTTAGAAGATATTTGCGTAGTGAAACACTCACGTCAGTGAGAAGAAGGTACTGTGTTGCATTCGGATTCGTTTCGAGCTTGCTTGCGATCTCTCCAATCTTCTTGATTGTCTGAGGCTTCTTTGGTCGAGTCAAACGTTCAGCATCATCAGGAATTTGAAAGTCCGCTTCTGTGGGTTGAGGCTCGATGAGGAAATCGCGAGGTAGTTCGGACATTGGCATCGCACTTTCCTCCTCAGCTTCCTGCCCGCCTTCATTCTCACGCCGAAATATTCCAGAATCCATTGTGATATTGAATGAGTGACGGCAAGACAATATGTGAATTCGAGGAGAGCGACAAGATGGCAAGGCTGCAAGATTGTGTAGAAAGTATTGTGGTCACCAACACGTAAGAAATGTCGTGGGGATACAGATGGTGATGACAGCTGTGGTATTCAAATGACGGTACGTTTGACCGCTTTGGTATAGTCGGGAACCTTGAAAGTCTATTCGCGTTCATTAGTAAAGCATTCGTCGGAGATATCGCCCATCACTTACCGTTTGAGGTGGAATAAGAAAGATGATGAGAATTTTCGGGCTGATAATACTCATCTCTCTTGGGATGCTGTTAACCAGTGGAACAAAGGCCACAAGAGGCTGGATAGTGAGATAATAAAGTCAGATGAGAACATCTGGAATGCTAAATGAAGATAAGATTGTTCAGGCTAATAAGCCTCAGATACTCTTATAACCGCGGAATAGCGACCATAGGAGACTGATAGTGAGATGAGCAAGCGAAAGCAAGCGAGATGAGAACTTCCGGAGGGTGATAAAGATGCTAAATGAAGATGAGATTGTTTCGGAAGCCTCAGATACTCTCAGGAAGCTCCGTTGTTAACCAGCGGAACAACGGCCATAAGAGGCTGGTAGTAGGATGAGGAGGTGAAACGTGATGAGAAAGGGGTGAGAAATGAGATAGGGACGTTCTCATCTCACTAGCAAGTGAGATGAGAACGTCCTTAAGGTAACAAAGATGCCAAATGAAGCTAGTAAGATTGTTTCGGCCTCGGATACTCCTGTGAACCTCTGTTGTTAACCAGCGGAATAACAGTCATAAGGAGGAGAAGAAAAAGAGGAAGAGTGATGAAGGGTGGGGAACAATTCGAACCACGTGTGCGACCCGTTGGTAAGAAAACACATACTGAAGAGGGGACCCTGCAACGGGGACAGCAGGGGCACTGACAGCCCTACCTGCGAAACAGCTATGAGAGCAGAGCCGTCACTGGGAGTAGTAGAGTGCTAGAGAACACCATGGGGTGACTACTAAGAAGGGAAGATAAGGGAAGGTGGTTGAAGGTGTCTGTGTTGCTATCTATGCCTCAGGAGTGCTTTTATAACTAGTTAACTGGTTAGTTAGTTAGTTAATTAGTCCAATTAACTGCTTATCGGCAGTGGTTCACCATCACTTTTCTTTTTCTTTTCATTTTCGTTTTTGTTTCATCTGGCACTTAAATGCCTTTCAATCTATTGTCTATTCTCTTTACAAGCAATCATCTCGAAATACTCACAGAGAACGCATGTGCATGTGGCGAGCTGGATCCTGTTACGGCTGGAGTGACGTTAGCCCTGACTGGCAGAGTTCTCGCTCTGTCTCGGTACACTGGAAAAGATGATCTCGTTTCCAGTCTTGATGGATGGAGAGTATTCGTAGCAAAGTCTGTTATGACTTGAATTATATGACGCTTTTTAGATAGCCGGATATCAAAGTAAACATAACAAATGGATCGCTTGAACAGTCACTCAACGTGGGTGACACATTTCTCTGTAGGCATGATGAGTGGCTCTTTTCTGCAATCTTTTGGGTAATTGGATAGAGTCAGGTTCCCCGGCCACCGCTATCTAAATAGGTAGGTGCCTAGGTGCATGGTAGAAGGCGAGAATGGTGATTGTATTATTGATGAAACGGAAGGAGCATGAGAAATTAATAAGCATTCATTGGTTAAGTATCAAAGTCAGTGTAGTAGGAGTAAGGACACCCAGGGGCCTAGTTGGTAACTCTATTGAGCAGCACCTACTCTAGACTACCCTTTAGGTCAACTGCCTGGTTTAGAACACTGTCGAGAATTACGCACTCACGGCTCTGGGTTCAAACCGTTCTGTCCACACTTTTTTTAATCCTTTTTTTTTCTCTCCCCCTGTAGTAGTTCCTAAAGTATAAAATGATAACGTGGTAGGTAGTCTTTTAATAAATACTAGCTTAGTATTGCAGATTAGATGGAGTATATATAAGAAACTAATAAGCACCCATTGGTTAAGTATCAAAGTTAGTATATTAGGAGCAAGGACACCCAGTGGCCTAGTTGGTAACTCTATCGAGCAGTACTGCTCTAGACTACCTTCTAGGTCAACTGCCTGGTTTAGAACACTGTCGAGAATTACGCACTCACGGCTCTGGGTTCAAACCGTTCGTCCGCTTTTATTAATCCTTTTTTTTTCTCGTTCCCTATATTAGTTCCTAAAGTATAAAGTAGTAAAATACCAGCAAGTAGCCGTTGGTTAAGTATCAAAGTCAGTGTAGTAGAACCAGCGGATTCCAGTGACTTAGTTGGTAACTCGATCATAAGCCATACCTGCTCTAGACTACCCTCTGGACTGCGAGTCGCTGTCGAGAATTTTGTACTCTTGTTCTCTTTTATTTCCCAGTAAAATCTTACAGCCTTGAAAGCATACAGTGCTGTATTGCCTGAGAGTCAACCACAGGGGCTATACTAGGCTGTTTACAGTCTCCAGAGATATGTTCTTACCCAACACGCTGTCTCACATGTACAACATACCTTGTTGATAGATTTATGCCTAGCGGCAGCTGGCCACCCGTGGATGTGCCCTTCCCGTTCCATGGTTGACATTCAACTTTAGTCCGGTGGATCCCCGGGCTCACGTGATTACGTAACTGTCGGCGTGCTCCGCAGTCCAGCCCCGAAGACTTCCAACGTCCCAAGCCACGAGGTGACAATCACAGAATGGTCTAATATACCAGAACCTTGAGAGGTCTTGGAATTTATTCTAGATCACACGTTTTTCCATGACCAAGGACGCCAAGCTGTGTCTTCTGAAGCGCCTATCTTTCGTACATGGGGGATTATCTCTGAGGAGGCCACGCGTGTGTATCTCGGACCCCTCTGCTCTTATCGACCTTTCTGGTCTCCAGTTTTTTTTAAACGCTAAACCGCCACTTTTATGAAGCAAATTCAGACATCGGTGGAGTTCGAAACAACGCACAATGCAGGCCACACACGTTGTGTAGTATGTTTTACACATGTCTCTTTTCACGTTCAGCCTCCAATCCCTTGCTCAAGCGCTCGGGTATCACGCGCCCCTGGAGAAACTGGAACAATCTCAGGTCGGCGGAAAGACGGGAAATCAAGCACACGACCCATATTGATCCACAACTACCCGGTGCGGAGAGAGTTTCCTGGACTTTGAGACAAGTTAGCCAGCAAGTTAGCCTGACCTGCACCAATCAATGAAGACGACAGGGGTGGCCGTGGCAAGATAATGCTACCTTCCCTTATCATCTTTGCCGTCGATGTGGTTACATTTGGCTGCAGGTGGCTCTAGCTGGCTCTAGGCGAGACGGGATCTCCGCTGTACACCGTCGGTCAATCCGTTCATGGCCATTCTTCCAGCCAAACAGGATGAGAAGGAAAGAAGGCCCGACGCTAGTGTCTTGTTCTAATCCTTGGTGGGCGTTCTTTATCTCTCATCCCCCAGAAAATATAATATGTATGCCAATAATTAAATAAACAATCCAACAGGTTTTAAGGCAAAACAATGCCAATGGGAGTTTCCTAAATCCGTGCCCTTACTTGTTATAAAAGATCAAGTTTCCTTGTGGGTAACAATCACAGGCGGTCTAAATCTCGAGGTATTTTTGAGTTTCACTTTAATTGTAAATTGCTACCGGCGCCTACATTCATACCTTCCGCTTGCGATTGGAGGGGCATCGTCATGGAGAAAACCCAAGAAGTTGATCTGGCAGGATCGCAGGTTGTTCATCATGTAGATCCTGTGCTGGATCCAGAACATCAGCATCACCATGCTCATCACCATCATACTGCCTTCGCCGAACAGGGACGTCAGGATGAAGTGGTCTACTCGAAAGATGTCGAGTTTGAAAAAGGAATCGTGCCTGAACAAACACCTCTGGACCACGGCAGGAAGAACTCCGACGATGAGGAAGCCGGCGAGACTCTCCCAGTTAAGCGCACTTGGTATCGCCGTGTGGGAAAGCAATGGAGACATATATTCCATGCCGTCGTCTGGCTTCTGTTTACCGGGTAAGTAGACACTTTGATCCTACTACTGTATCCTGGACTCAACACGAGGCTCACACATACTCTTCACATAGTTGGTGGATTGCCGGCCTGATCCTACACCGACATGATATAGGATGGCTCATCCCATTCCTGCTCTATCTTGCCATCACGCTACGAATAATCTTCTTCTATGTCCCCATTACTGTCGTATCAAGGCCCATGCACTGGGTCTGGGGGCGTACCGCTCACCCTTTCGTGCGCCTCATCCCCGAGAAGATCAGAACACCCAGTGCCGCGGCGCTATGTATCGCTGTGATTCTTGTTGGCTCGTTCGTTTCCGAAGAATCACAGGATAACACCCGTGCCAACCGTGCAGTCAGTCTGTTCGGCATGGTGGTCTTCATCTTCGGGCTATGGCTCACATCTCGAAACCGCAAGAAGATCGTCTGGCACACTGTCATTGTCGGTATGCTGGCTCAATTCATCATTGCGCTGTTCGTGCTCCGCACCACTGCAGGATACGACATCTTCAACTTCATCTCAAGCCTAGCCACTGATCTGCTTGGTTTCGCCGCCGACGGAGTCATATTCCTGACCAGCGAGGATTTCTACTACTTTGACAAGGGCTTTGCCCCAGGGCAATTCTTCATTGTCAGCGTCATCTCCGCCATCATCTTCTTCGTCGCCTTCGTCCAGCTCTTGTACTACTTCAATATCCTGCAGTGGTTCATTGGCAAGTTCGCCGTCTTCTTCTTCTGGAGCATGCGCGTTTCCGGCGCCGAAGCCGTTGTCGCCGCCGCATCCCCCTTCATCGGCCAGGGTGAATCCGCCATGCTGATTCGTCCCTTCATCGCCCATCTTACCATGGCCGAGCTGCACCAAATCATGTGCTCCGGTTTCGCCACCATCGCCGGAAGTGTCCTGATCGCTTATATCAGCATCGGTGTCAACCCACAGGCAATGGTCAGCGCCTGTGTGATGAGTATCCCG